CACAAGGCCTGGCTCTCAGGTCCCAGGGCTTCCCTCTGAGGTTTTCCCTGAATCGCTTCAGCTTGTCTGTCTAGTCTACATTGGTTGCTTGAAGCTCCTTTGCATGGGGAAGCTCCTGAGATAAAGTGAAAGTTGGAAAAGGTTTCACCTTGGGAAAGTCACTTGGAAAGGAGCTTTGGAGGCCTGGAGCCATAGCTGCCCCCTGAGCTCTCCCCTGTGTTCCAGCCCTGCACCGCCTGCATCTGTTCCAGAACCTACTCTGCTTCCTGGGGCTGCTGGCTGGCCTCCTCTTCCTCCTATTGGTCCTGGGAGCCTTCTACGCCTGGAGGTGGGTACAGAGCTGGAGGGTGGATGGGGCCACCTCAGCCTTCTCTGTTTTCCCCTAACATTCCCCCATGTCCTTCCTACCAAATTCACAGGCTCCCTACTTTCTAGTCTGCCCTCCTCCCTTCCCACGCTCTGAATCTGGGTATTCTTTCTAGAATGATCTCTAAATCCATCTTGCTGTAGTTTTCTTCTTTCCTTATCTCTACCCTGTCTGTGCTGAAGAAAGGGCTGGGAGGGAAGAAAGATAAGGTACTCCACCCCCCACAATGCTCCCCACTGCTTGGTGCAGTGAGCAGTCTGGGGACAAGCATGTGGAGCGGGTGCAGGAATAGGGACAGGCAGGGAGAGGAGAGGCTCTCTGAGTCCACTCTTGCCCTTACAGAAGGAGATATTTTCATAAGCTGAGCGTGGGTGAGAATTCGGTGGAGATGGCGTCTCAGAAGGACACGGTGCAGGTATCTAACCACCATGTGGGTGCACACAGACATAAGGCCCGGCTACCCCACAGTGCAGGGCTGGCCCCTAGAGACTGCTCTCATTCATAGGCTGGTGTGTGGGTCTAGGGGGCGATGGGGGGAGAATATAGAGATCCAGGGCCCCTTGAGGAGATAGGAGGAGCCATACTCTGATCAGGGCAGAGAGAAGTCATGTGTTTGCTGTGCGGCTGGCTGGATGACTGGGGCAGACGCTCTGAACTTAGCAGTGACACCTCCACTTCCAAGACACATCTTGGAACGCCACCTGTGTTTTGGCGTCTCTCTGCCCATCACCTGGGCAAGAGTGGAAAACTGTTTTTCCTTCCCCTTGATGTGTCCCCTTCTGCAGATAATCCATTTGGTGGGGCAGGGCTTCTAGCCATGCACATTCTCACCAATCCCCTTGAGGCTTGGGGTCTGGGGGACTGCCCTCCAGGGTTAGGGATCAGGTGATGACATCTCCCAGAGTCCTCCTGTGACCAGGGTTTTCTCTATGGGAAATTCATGGATCCTGATGCAGCCACATTTGGGATTTCTTCCTGTGCTCCACCCCTAAGCTGACCATGTGGCATTGCCTGCCCTTAGGAGGATGAGTCCAATGGAACCTGTGATGACTTGGTCCTGGTAAACAAGGCTGCATTGGCTCCTGACGGCAGCTATGAAAACAACGCTATGACATCTAACGTTCTATGACCTGATTCCAAACCTCTTGCCCCTCAAGAAAAATAGGTGGTGAGAGTGGGGGATGAACCCTAATATACCCAGGAGGGTGTTGACCTCAGGGGATGCTGAAGAAAAAGGAGTTGATCATGTTGTCCACTTCGCCTCCTCTTTTCTCTGGATCTCGTCTCTCCATTTATCTTCCAATATACTTCCTCCTCACATCTTTCTTGTCCAAGCCCATTCTGGACTGTTTGGATGGATTAGAAGAGGAGCTTTCTACATCCTCACACTGTACTAGCACTCTGCACTAGCTAGATTATAAGTTAAGCTGCTCTAACTAGAGACCAAATACAGTAACTTCAACTTGAGAAAATTTTATTTTTCTCTCGCATACTAGTCTGGGTATGTTATGGTGTTTAAATTGCTGGTACTCTGGGTACTTCTAGCTCATCTTGATTGTGAGGGTTCACAATGACCACATTGTGTTCACATTCCCTCCAACAGAAGAGTGGAAGTTGAAGGTATACCATTCCCATTGTGGACATAACCGGAGGTTGCACATGTCATATCCACTCACTTCTCATTGGCTAGAGTTTAGTCACATGGCCACTCGAGGCTGCAAGGGATTCTGGGAAATATAGTTTTTTATTCTATTCCCAACAATAGATTCATCCCTGAGACTTTTGACATTGATGAGAATGCTTGCCAGCAGGGCACATTCTATCTCAGTGCCAATCTGCTGAAGGGCATGCCCTGGTCATGGGCTTCCTGGAGGAGGCAGTCCATCTCAAACATTAAGACTGAGGAAATCAAGAAGGTTTGATGGTCCCTAGGGAGAGGGCATGCCAGGCAGTGGGGTTGCCTGAGCAGACGTCTTGTGCCAGATCTGGTCCCTGGAAGAAGAGATGCCCCCATCCGCTTCCCCACCCTTAGGGAGCCGACACAATGTCATCAGCATCCTTCTTTTTGCTCCAGGTACATTCCTCTCCATGATCCAGTGAGTTCACGTCCTCTTGCTGGAGGCTTGTGCCAGGGGCTGTTAAGATGAATGAGGGTCACCAAGAAGGAATAATGTGCTCCCAGGAAGTCAGTACCTGAGGGGAGCCAGTTCGTGGGTAGGCTAGTGACTCTCCTGATAGCCCGGTGTCAGATGGTGGGAAGAACAAAGAGTCCACTGCTCTGGGCTTTGGGTTGAGAAACATGGGGAGTAATGGGACATTAGCACGGACCTAACAGGTTGGGAAGAAATGGGAGGCCTAGTGAGCTCCATTAGCAGTGGTTGGGACCCTTCTTGGTCCAAGGTCCCATTCTTTTTAGTGCCTCATGATTAGACCCTTCCTTGGGAGCCTGTCTGGCATTTCCTTCCAATAAACCTCCATTCTGCAACATAATTAGAGTGAGTCTTTTTCTTGCACCTTCGTGTGGGAGGCAACCAATTGATGTGTCTTTCTCACATCGATATTTCTCTCTCTGTGTCTCTTCCCCTCCCTCTGTCTAAAAAGAGCAATGAAAAAATATCCTCCGGTGAAGATTAACAAAAACACAATAGAATGGATAAATGAATTGTGCTATGTTCACTCAATGGAACATTATACAGCAGTTAGGAGCTGCAACTACACATGTTTAGCATCATATTGAATGAAAGGAGTCAGACGCTAAACAGTGTAGACTTAATGATTCCATTCTCGTGAAGTTCAAAGCTAATCAATGGTGATGAAAGTCAAAATAGTGGTTACTTATGGGGGAAGGTCATGATCCGAAGGGACCAACAAAGGGATTTCGGGGATCAGACAGTGTGCTGCTTCTTGGTCTGGGTGCAGGTTTTAAGGATGGATTCACTTTGTGAAAAGTCATTGAGCTGGGCACTTAGGACACATTTTTCTGAAAATATAACTGATAGTACTTCAATAAGATGGTTTTAAAAAACCTTCCACCTTTTATGCTGGGTGTCTAGGGAAGTCTAACCAAACTCTGGCTGAGTACAGATTCTTTTAAAGCGCCTTCTTCACTTTGCCAAAGGACAGCACGTTCCCCTTTGAGTGCACCAGAGCCTTGACTGTGTCTTTGGGGCCCTCCATTCATAGGTTGATGCTCAGCCACTGAACACACCAGCCTGGTACCAATGCCAAGTGTTGGTAAGAATGTAGAGAAACTGGAGCGCTCGTACATTGCTGGTGGGAATGTAAACTGGAACAGCCACTTTGAAAAAGTTTCTTAAGACATTAAATGATGCCCTTACCACAAGACCCTGCATTTCTACTTTTATCAAAACTCACCTAATTGCACGTCATATAAGGTGCATCGTGTTGTATGTAAATTGTACCTCAATAATTATGAGAATAGTGAGAATGAGACCACTCTCAATTCACTGAGTGGTCTCGTTATCACTGCAGAAGAATCTCCAAGGTGTATTAAGTGGGAAAAAAAAAATCAAGGTGCAGAAAAATGTTAATCAGAGAAAAATATGTCTGTGTTATCTCCGGAATGGATAAAACAATCTAAAAGCCTATACTAATACTTAGTGGCTTTCTGTTGGGGGATGTGGCTGGGAAGGTGGACACAGAAGAGGGAGGGATGTTACCTAAACATCTCACACTTTTTGATGTTTGAATTAGGCGAACATAGCTTTCCCTTGCTGCTGAAACTCTTACTAATTGAATTGCCACACTCTGATTTCACAACAACAAATAGATTTGCTTAAAAGTTAATATCCCTTGCTATGGGAATACTTGCAACTTCGAATGTACTACTCAGTACACAAACAAGCCTTTAAAACAAGAAGCAGATGTTACCGTGGCCGAAAGGATCCCTGACGTCTGGGAGTCTATGGTTTTGTAACTCCCACCCCTACCCTCACCCCCACCCCAGGCCAACGCCATTAGGGCTGCGCCCGCCCCTACCTGTGCGCCAGCCCCCACCCCCCACCGCTGGGCAGCACAGAGCCGTCAGAACTGCGGCCTCCGCTCGCTCCCCTCGCCCACCCGGGAGCACGCGGGGCGGGGCTGGCGGCCGCTGGGTCGCACCTGTCAGGGTCGCCCCCGCCTCCCTTCTCCTAGGGGTGCTCTCCAGGGAGCCTCTGGGCAGAATTGGTGACAAGGAGGGGGCAGAGGTCCGCCCCAGGAGATCAGGGAGCGGGGCCTTCCATGTGCAGACCCGAGCAGCGACAGGTGGCCTCTGGCCCCTCTGCTACGGTCCTCAAAGGCCGTTCCCGAGGGTCTGCGGCCCATGCCCACCCTCCACTCCTACAGGTGTGGGCTCTCTGAGACCTGCGGGGCGGGAAACCGCAGGCGGGTCTGGGGGAGCCCCTTCCCGGCCCCCCTAGCGGGCCGCTCCTGCCGGGAGGGCCGCCCGGCTCCCCGAGGGCTGGCGAACGCGGGTTCTGCCGTCCAGGGTCGGGACTGGACCGGTTGCGGTCCCGGCGCGGGTGGCCGGGTTGCGTGCGGGGTCCGCGGGGAGGGTGCGGCAGATGAGGCTGGCCGGCTGCACAGGGAGTGGGTGGGCGGCCATCCAGCCGGGGCGGGGCCGGGAGCGGAGCCGGAGCCGAGCTCAGAAGTCCAGGCGCTCACAGCGATGGGCCCGGGGTCTCTGAGGGCTCCAGGGTCGCCGCCGCCAGCTTGGCTGCTGCAGCTGCTGCTACTGCGACTACCGTGGTCGGTGTGGGGGGCCGAGGCGTTCCGCGGTGAGTGGGAGCGCCCCGAGGGGCAGGCTTGGTCACTGTCAGGGGTTGGAGCGGTTGAACAGACCCCCAACCCCCTCCCCCCTCCCGGGAATGGGCCGCCAGGACAGGGAATTAGAGAGGGTTTGGGAAGGTCTCCCTGGGACCTGCCCAGGGATTCTCACTTGAACTTGGCCTAAGGGCCCAGACTTGCACACTCTGCCCAACTGCCACTGTGCCCGCCGCAAGGCAGAGGGGCAGGAATCCTTATCCTCTGAGCAGCGCCGCCCCTCAAACCTCTCTGCCTGGATTCCCAGGCCCCATCCTCCAGTGGAAACATTCCTGCACCTCCATCCCTTAGGGCTCAAGGGTCTTCCTCCTCTGGAAAGCACCTAGCCCACTGCCAACCCCCCCCCCCTCCCGCCCCCAACCCTGCTGTAATCTCAGACCAGGGGACTGACTGTGACCTCCACACTCACCCATCACCCAAGCTCACCCCCTTCCTGGGCCTTGGGCCAGTGTGTAACTAGTTTATACTGTTGCCATGTTTGGTTAGAGGAGGGCTTCTCACAGAAGGTAACCTCTTCAACCCTCTGTGAGGCGGGGGCGGGTCAGCAGCTCTGAGTAGGTGGGAGGATTGGTGGAGGCCTGGATGTCAAATGCCTGGGAGGGTCAGGGAAAAGGCAGGACAGGCTGGGCTGGGAAGGGGGTGGTTTGCAGAGCGCTGTGGAGGGGGAACCCAACAGGGATAGGACCCCTGAACCCTCAGGGAGAGGGACCACAGCCCTCATTCTCGTGGTGATGGTCCCCAGGCATTCCACTGATTCCTCCTCCGCAGCCTGGAATCAGGGGAGGGGGATGCAACCCCCTGGGAGTGGAGAGGGGCTCTAGGCTCCCCAACACTATACTGGCTCCCCTAGATTCACTTAGTCACCACAGCCCCATCTCTACCTCCCTCTCCCCCATCAAGGTGCCAGAGGCCAATATGTGGGAGGCCTGGGCCCAGCAAGACCTGGTTCTCCACACCCAGTGAAGTCCTCTCTGGGCTAAGAGATCCTCCCCTCTCCCCAGAAGCGCTCAGACCCCTGCCCACACTTGCCCTGTCTGATGGCAACTGCTTGATAGCAACTCACTCATCCAATCAGGGAGGGCTTCTTGGAGGAAGGAAGTTCCTAGAGTTGCTGCTATTTCAGGTCTTTGATGATGGGGTCTGGGGAGGAGACAGAGAAGGAGAAAGGAGTTGGGGTGGCCTGGCAGTTGCTGAGCCACTTCCACAGGCCAGTGTCTCAGCCTGGGCAGGGCTGGGTGGAGGTGGCGGAGCTGTCAGTTCTGGGAGCTGGGCTTCCCCAGGACTGAGTGCCAGAGGGGTGGGTGGGCTGCCTGCAGGCTGTGGGCTGCCTGGGGCCTGGCTCCTGCAGGGGGGTGTAGTGCAAGAGTTACTGTAGTCCTTGGGAGGAGGATGATTGGGGGCATTCCAGGGGAGCATTCCAGCTTCCTCTGAGTAATGCTTGGCTCTGGCATTCCTCCTGGAGCTCCTGAAGCACACCCACTCCCTCTGGGAGCACTCAGGCTCTGTCCCCCAGCCTTGGGGCCAGGGTCCCTGGAAGCCCCACTTCCTGCATGAAGCCCCCAACAGCAGCTCTGAGCAAAGTGAGCCTCCTAAGAAAACATCTAGCTGTTATTTTTCTCAGAGGGTGGTGGAGACACAGGCATCCTCTTCACAGATATCTCACCCTGAAGGCATCTGCTGCCCAGTCTAAAAATATCCCAGGCTGCCTTCCTCTTTCCCCCTTGCACTGGTGGCCTTGGTCTCTCCCTCGTGACCTTTGACACCAAGCCCTCCCCCAAGGTCAGTGGGGCTCCAAGCATCCCCAGCTGAACTATCCTTCCTAGGCTCCTTGGTCTCTCTTCTGCCACCCCCCAGGCTGCTCCTCGGTTCCCAGGGCACCCCATGGATTGTTGAAGACGGATGGTCAAACCCCATCCTTCTGTTGTCCTTGCTCCCCTCTGCTCCTCAGGTTCCCCCTCACCCTGTGCTCTGTCCTCACACCAGGAAACACCCCCGGAGAGCCAGTCACCCCTCTCTGGGTCCTGGACGGAGGAGCCTGGCGCATGGTCACCCTGGAGGAGCCGGTTAGTGCCACATCATCCCTTCCTCTGCGCGGCCCAGGCTGTCCCAGCCCCTTGGCCCCTCCCCAGGTTGCAGTGTGGCAGTTTTACTGTGTTCCCTCAGCTCCCCTCCCAGCCCTTTAGGCTCCTCCCGGAAGGGTTAGCAGGCAGGGGTGGGGAGACATCTAGATTATGTGAGCCTGCACACATGGAAGTCATTTTCAGGCTTCCCCCTCACTCCTCTTTCTCTCCCTTCCCACAACTCTCCAGGCACGAAACTTCAGGGATCTCTTTAAGAAAACACAAACTTTGCCTTTCGCAAAGTTTTCCAGAACATGTGACCCTGTGGACACATTGCTGTCCTCTCCAGGACCCTGCCATCGAGGGGCCTGAAACTTCAGCCTCACGGGCTCATGCAGAATCCACTTCTGTCCAGGGGGTAGTGGTCACTCTTCTGGTGGCCCTCAGATGCAAGCTCACCCCATTTTGCTTCTCCAGGATGCTCTGCCCCAATTTCCTCCCAACACCCACCCATCACACACTTTCAGAATAACCATAGCCCCACCCACACGTGCCACAGAACTAGCTGTGCTGCAAACCAGGAGGCCAGTGGCCTCAGTATGCCCATCTCCGAGAGGGGCACACAGAAGCCCAGAGAGGTTGGAGAAACTGTCCAAGTTCGCACAGCTCTTTAGCGTAGAAGTCTGAGACCCACTAGGGTCTGAAAGACTTCAAACCATTGGCCAATGTCCCCCAAGCCTAGAGAGCCCTCTTCACCCTGAATTTTCAGGCAAGAAAGGACAACCCATTGTCCAAGCCACGCTGGCCCTGGAGGAAGACAGGAGAGCACTGCCATGAGGCCGGGAGGCTGACACAGGCCCACAGCTCCCTCGCTGGGTCCCCCAGACCCTCAGGGTCCCCATTCAAGTGGTCAAGCATGGCGCTGGCCCAAGCTTTGAGATCATTTTCCTGGACATCACCAGCAGAGGGAAAGGCTGGGCTCACGCTGGAGTCACCCTGACTGTGGACCCTCCTGGTCTGGCCTGGGCTGTGACCCTCCTTGCCCCCAGGGAGCCTGCCGAGATGAGGTCGGTGTTGAGGCAGGGAGTCCTGTCCCAGCGGAAGGAAACACTCACATTTCAGGTCAGGGATGGGGTACATAGTGAAGGGTAAAGGCACTAGGAGGGCCAGAAGTGAGGACAGCAGGGGCACAGAGGTTCAGAGGGACAGAGAGGGGATTCTGGGGTCTCGGGGTTGCAGGAGGAGGCTTTTCATTGGGGCCCCTGCCTTTCCTTGGCACAAACCTTTCTCCAATAAAGCAAGTGGCATTCCGGCCCCATGAGCTCATGCTCGGGGCCTTGCTGGGCTCCTGCTGGGGCAGGGAGCTGTCTGCTCCCCACCTGGGGAGGAAGTCTCCACTCCAAGACTGTGAGCCCCTTGGCCTCCGGCCCAGCCCGTGCATTGTGGACTAAAAAGGAAGGGCCAGCAAGGGTTGGGGCCAGCATTCCGAAGACACAGCAGTTCTCCCACAGGCTCCTAGACTGCCTCTGGGCCCCCAGCCAGGCTGAGTGGACGAGGGAGGCAGATGAGTCTTCCCACGTGGGAAGCAGGGAAGGAGAGGCTGGCCTGCTGGCCCGGCCCACGCCCTCCCCGCCTCACTCCCCCACAATCTGGCCAAGAACACCAGTGTTTTTCCCTTGGCCTAGGCAAGGGGTCTGTGTTTACTTCATAGGATCCGTGAAACGGTGTGGGCGAGCCTGCTGGAGACCAAGGAATTTCAGGGCCTGACATTTTGTCAGAATTGGAGGTGGAGGAGTAAAGTCTGAATTCTACCGGGAGCGGGGAGAAAAGATGCCAAAACAAGAGGTTGTGAGGAGGCCCGAGCCATGGCTACCTGACATCCACCCACCCCCTGCACTGTCTTCAGGACCCCACTTCCTTCCTGCCTAGGGGAAGCCTGGCATGAAAGAGGAGGAAGAGCCAGAGGGAAGGCCCAGTAACCTTGAGCAAGGCAGGGCCCCTTTCTGGGACCCCTCGTCTCTCTAGGGAGGAAGCGGTGTGTCCCTAGCAGGCTACGCCAAATGGCTGTTGTCAGAACAAACATCCTGAGTTTGGGAACATCTCACCCCCACACCATCCATGCCCATCAGCATGCTCTCAACCCCACACCCACCCATGCCCACGAAGGCAAGCGGGGACCCTTCTGCCCCTCACCCCCATGTTCTCCCCATGAACTCCCTGGCCAGCTGGCTCCCCACCCACCAGCTCCCTGGCAAGCAGGAGGCCAGGCTGCCTGCCACCTCAGCCCTGCACTCCTTCTCGCCTAGGTCTTGAAGCTCGACACGGGGCTGGTAGCCTTGGAGGCTGGAGGGCAGGAGCTCCTCCTGGAGTTGGAGAAGAACCAGTGAGTACCAGTCCAGGGAGGGGGCTGGGAGCCAGGACAGCCTCTCTCTCTGGGGGTGGGGAACAATGCTGGGGGCAGGGACTGGTGGGAACCCAGGAGGGAGGCTGGAAGGGGGAGGGCTCCCTTGAGGCTGAAATGGCCTGTTGGGTTGGGTCAGCCCTGTTTTGGAGTACATCTTTCACCCAGGCCCCAGGAGCATCTTGTCAGCTCTCTGCCAGAAAAGAGTGTGCATCACCCAATGTATCAAGTGCTTGTTTCATTGCAGGCACTGCTCTAAGCACTCCACACAGGTTATTCTCCCCCATGGAATCAGATGCACTAGGAATAAGCTAGTTCCACCATGCCTACCCACGGTTTCTCTGGGGTTTGGTGTCCCCCACCTTAAATGGGTCGATCATATAAGCTACCTCCTAAGGTTGTGTATGGAGTGAGGTGCAAAGCTTGAGAAGGTGAAGGAAAGACTGGGGGGTGAAGAAGCAGGCATCCCAGATCTTTGGGGTGGTCTGGCAGTACAGAGGTCAAGAGAGATTGACTTATGGTTGATCCATCTTGGTGGGAGGGATCCTGGTGAGATGGGGCCCAAAGATGGAATCATTAAGGGAATGAGCATCACTGAAGGACAATTGGGGAGAGATGTGGGGTCTGCAGGCCATAGGAGAAGATTCAAGGATCCTTGAGGTAGGGAGGTGGACTAGAGAGAGGACTGACCAGATGCCCAACAAGGCTGGGCAGCAGGAAGTGCCAACAGGGAATTCAGCCGCACTTCCTTGGAGCCGAGTCCCACCTGCCCAGCAGTGTCTCCTGAGTCCTCTCCTCCTGCCCAGCCCTAGGCCTGGGGAACCAGCTGCCTGCCACCGGCTCCACAGGATCACAAACTGCCCCTATTGCTGCTCCTCCCTGGTGCTTCCCACACTCCCAGTTCCCATATCTAAGCCACCACCAAGCCTCCTTCCTGCTCTTCACTTTTCTCCCTGTAGCCCAGTGGTTCTCAACCTTCCTAATGCCGTGACCCTTTAATACAGTTCCTCATGTTGTGGTGACCCCCAACCATAAAATTATTTTCGCGGCTACTTCATAACTGTAATGTTGCTACTGTTATGAATCGTAATGTAAATATCTGATATGCAGGATGTATTTCCATTGTTACAAATTGAACGTAATTAAAGCATAGTGATTAATCACAAAAACAATATGTAATTATATATGTGTTTTCCGATGGTCTTAGGCGACCCCTGTGAAAGGGTCGTTCGACCCCCAAAGGGGTTGCGACCCACAGGTTGAGAACCGCTGCTCTAGCCCAAGGTTTTTCTGAACTAAGCAACACACAGTCAGTCATCCCTGTCCCTTTCCTAAGACACACTGTGGGTGCTTCTTTTTTAAAAAAATATTTTTATTGATTTCAGAGAGGGAGAGAGAGATGGAATGATGAGAGAGAATCATTGGTCGGCTGCCTCCTGCACACCCCCTCCTGGGGATCGAGCCTGCAACCCCGGCCTGTGCCCTGACCAGGAATCCAATCGTTACTCCCTGGTTCATAGGTCAATGCTAAACCACTGAGCAACAGGGGCCGGGCTGGGTGCTTCTTAAGTGCTAGCCCTGTGCCTCACTCAGAGCTGCTCCATTAGCATTCAGGGAGCAAGGCTGGAGGGCATCCTGGAGGAGGCAGAGCTGAATTAGGTGATCCCTACAACACCCCTTCCCAGCAGGCTGCTGGCCGCAGGATACACAGAAACCCACTACAGCCCAGATGGGCAGCCAGTGGTGCTGGTCCCCAACCAGAGGGTGAGATACTTCCATGGGCACTGAGGTCAGGGTGAGGGGTGCTAGGCATGCACTCCCCGAGGGCCTCTCCACCATTCCTTCCCCATTCTCCTGTTCCTAAGGAGAGGCTGGAGCCAACCCCTCCCCACCCCCAGCCTGCCCTTCCCACTTCAGTCCTGGCTGAGATTTGAGGCTGGATCCCTTGCTCTCCAGGATCATTGCCATTACCATGGGCACGTGAGGGGCTTCCCGGACTCCTGGGTAGTCCTGAGCACCTGCTCTGGGATAAGGTGAGGAGTTCTGGGGGAGGGGCTGGGCCTGGGGCAGGGGTAAGAATTCGCTCACACCCCCTTCTGCACCCCCTGCATCCTAGGGGTCTGATCACGCTCAGCAGCAATGCCAGCTATTATGTGCATCCCTGGCCAGCTGGGGATGCCCACGGTGCCTCAACCCACAGGATCTTCTGGACCGAGCAGCTACTTAGCTGGAAAGGGGCCTGTGGCCATAAGGATCCTGAAGACAAAAGAAACATGACCAGCCTTTCTCCTGCCACCAAGATCAGGGTCAGGGGCACAGACAGGGGTGGGAGTGGGAATGCAGTATCCCCAGCCCTCCAAATCCGAAAGACAGGAAAGGGTGGCCCATGTTCAGGGTCTCCTGTCCTGATGTTTTATTTGAAGGCTGAAGAAACAAGTTCTTGAAAAATTTTAAAGTTACCTTTGTGCTTTCCAGGGGTTGGGGTTGGTGGTCAGGGCTCAAGCCAGCAGCCTGCCACTCAGGGTCACCGTTGCCTCTCCGCAGGACTGGCGGGAAGCCCAGCGAAGCCCGAAGCACCTAGAGCTGTACATAGTGGCGGATCACGCCCTGGTGAGAGGAGACTCCAGGGGGCTGCCCGGCTGAGAGGGGCCAGTCAGCCTGTCACATCACCATATTGCTGCCTTTCCAGTTTGTGACCCAGCACCGGGACTTAAACCACACCAAACAGCGGCTTCTGGAGATCGCCAACTACGTGGACCAGGTTGGTAGTGGCGGCCACAGGGGCGGGGAAGACATTTGGAGAATGTACCGCTGGTCAGTCCAGGGGCGGCCAGCTGGAGGAGGCAGGCTTGGAGATGAGGAGAGCATATAGGGGGAAAGAGAGGGGCCACCAGCAGGATGGTGTGCCTGGTCCCGGCTTCAGGCCCGTCCTGCCCTGACCATAGATTCTCAGGACCCTGGACATTCAGGTGGCGCTGACCGGCCTGGAAGTATGGACCGAGCAGGACCACATCCGCATCACGCCGGACGCGAACAACACGCTCTGGGCTTTCCTGCGGTGGCGCCGGGGGCTGTGGGGGCGGCGGCCACACGACTCCACGCAGCTGCTCACGTGGGTGCCTCCCATCCCCACACGGGTCCCCGCTGGGCGGCTCCTCCTCCCCGCGCGCATCACCAGGTCACGCTGCGCTCCACCTTCAGGGGCCGCGCTTTCCGGGGCGACACCGTGGGCCTGGCACCCGTGGAAGGCATGTGCCTCATAGAGAGCTCTGGAGGCGTAACCGCGGTGAGCTCCGCGGACTGGACACGGGACAACAGGAGAGGTGCGGGGCGGTCTCCGCAACCCGCAGTGACCGTCCTGCGCCCGCGCCCTCGCAGGATCACTCGGAGCTCCCCATCGGCGCTGCAGCTACCATGGCCCACGAGATAGGCCACAGCCTCGGCCTCAGCCACGACCCCGACGGCTGCTGCGTAGGGGAGGCAGCGGAGCTAGGCGGCTGCGTCATGGCAGCAGCCACGGGGTATGGGCGACCGGGCGACCGCGCGACCGGGTGGGGAGGAGCTGCTAGGGAGGCTCCACTAGACCCAGGCCCTTCCTCGGCTGCACTCCTTTGGGTGCACGCTTATCTCCCAGTTTTCTCTTCTGTATGATCATCGTACCGGCCCCGAGTTGTGAGGCTTAAATGGAGTAAACACAGGACAGTGAATGCTCACGAGTATAAAGGTTCTTTTCGGAAACGCCTAGCCAGGCTGTTCCTACAGGGCTGGCCGCGCTGGGTCGGGATTCCACGTTCAGTCTGGCGCTGCTGGCTCCGGGAGGCACGCCGTCCCGCCCCCTTCCGGCTGGGCGCCTTCGCTCGGGTTAGGCGCCCTCTCTGGGCTCTGGCCCCGAAGCATCCGAGCCGCCCGACACGCAGTTGTGCTCGGGTGGTTCTGCAGTGACCCGAGAGGAGCAGGGCGTTCAGGAGGCCATCCCTGCACGCCCCGACGCCCTTGCCCGCCCGCAGGCACCCGTTCCCCCGCGTGTTCAGCGCCTGCAGCCGCCGCCAGCTGCGCGCCTTCTTCCGCAAGGGGCGCGGCTCGTGCCTCTCCAACCCGCCGGGCGCCGGGCTCCGGGTGCGGCGGGCGCGCTGCGGCAACGGCTTCGTGGAGGACGGCGAGGAGTGCGACTGCGGCGCGGGCCAGGTGAGGTCCGCGCGCCGGGCCCTGGAGGCCAAGGCTGGCCCCGGCCCTCCCCCTCCTCCAAGGTCGGGCGCGCGGACCTCACCTGGCCCCCCTTCTCGCCCTTTTGGCTCCAGGAGTGCCCCGACCCCTGCTGCTTCGCGCACAACTGCTCGCTGCGTGCGGGGGCCCGGTGCTCCCGCGGGGACTGCTGCGCGAGCTGCCAGGTGAGGGCGCGGCAGGCTCGGAGGGGAGGGTGGAGGGTGCTGTGGGGCAGCCCTGCTGGCCCTGGCGGATTGGCGCCCTCCGTCCCCGCGGGTCCACCTCGCTCTCCCGCCGGGCTGTCCCGCCCCGAGCCTCGCTGTGGGCGCGGATCTCTCACTGTCCGTTGTCCTCTGTGTCTCGGTCGCTCTCCCGCACGCGGGTCACCTGCACAGCTGAAGCCGGCGGGCGCGCCGTGCCGTCGGGCTGCGGGAGACTGTGACCTCCCTGAGTTCTGCACGGGCGCCTCTCCCCACTGCCCCCCCGACCTTTACCTCCTGGACGGCTCGCCCTGCGCCAGCGGCCGTGGCTACTGCCTGGACGGCGCGTGCCCCACGCTGGAGCAGCAGTGCCAACAGCTCTGGGGACCCGGTGAGAAGACACGCGCGGCCTTGCACCTCGTGCCTACCCTTGGGTCTGGGGAGTTTTCTCCTCTAGGAAAGATGGGAGGGGCGAGGGGGGGAGGGGGAGAACGGAGGGCGGGGACAGCCTAGTCCCCAGCCCCACCCGTGCTTCTCCAGGCTCCCGCCCAGCTCCGGAGGCCTGTTTCCACGTGGTGAACTCGGCAGGAAACGCCCACGGCAACTGCGGGAGGGATGAGGAGGGCAGCTACGTGCCTTGTACGCAGAGGTGAGGAGAGGAGCGGAGGAACCGGAAGCTGGGGAGTGGGTTGGAGACAAGGGGAACCCCCCCTATGCTGCTTGACACTTCAATTGGTCCCCAGGGATGCGCAGTGCGGGAAGCTGCAGTGCCAGGGCGGGGAGCAGAGCCCACTGGCACCACACACGATGCTGGTGGACTCTACCCTCCGCCTGGACGGCAGGGAGGTGACTTGCAGGGGGGCCTTCCTGCTACCGGGTGCCCAGCTGGACCTGCCTGACTTGGGCCTGGTGGAGCCAGGCACCCAGTGTGGGCCTACAATGGTGAGCCCTGCCCACCGAGCCCTCCCTGCCACTCGAGTCCCTAGGCCAAAGCATCACTCCCCCACGGTGCTTAGTGCACTCCACTGCCCATAGGTGTGCCAGGACAGGCACTGCCAGAACACTACCTTCCAGGAGTTGGAGCTCTGTCTGACCGCCTGCCATGGCCATGGGGTGAGTGGTCTTGAGTGTGTGTGTGGGAGGGGGGGGCCTTGAGGTCAGGACCTTGAGGTCCCTGACCGCATGGGACCCTCCTTTTCTCTTCCTCTGCAGGTTTGCAACAGCAACTATAACTGCCACTGTGATCCTGGCTGGGCTCCACCCTCCTGCGACAAGCCAGGGGCGGGTGGCAGCCTGGACAGTGGCCCTGTGCAGCCAGAAAGTGCGCACAGGGGGGGCGAGTGGGGACGGGCCCTGTGGTGCACCCACATAGGACTCAGCCTCACCTTGTCCTTTGCAGACCAGGACGCCTTCCTGCTGGCAGTGATCTTTAGCTTCCTACTGCCTCTGCTTCCTGGGGCCGGCTTGGCCTGGTGCTGCTACCGGCAGCGCGAATCCCAGCTTCAGTACGGCCTGTGCAGCTCAAGGAGGGCCAGTGGGTAGGCTCTGAGGTCCCTGCTCCCTGAGCCCACTCCTGTGGTTCCTGCTCCTCAGAGTTCTGCTGGGCCTGGGACAGCTTGGGTGATGTCCTTAGTTAGGCCTTGTCCCCAGAGGCAGAGAGGCAGCTGAGGGAATGGAAAGAGGCCTTGAGCAGGAGGCACCAGGGGCCAAGGGTGGGGGTCCCTTCCCCGTTGCTGTGGTTGTCTCTTTTTGTCCATTCTCCTGTTTCTCCCACCAGGCGATTGCCTCATCTTTGACTTTGCCCTGTTTTCCACCAGCTCATAATGCAGTTCCTGCTCCACTGTGCCCCTCAAGGTCTCCCCAGCCTCTTTCTCATGAGCTTTCGGCCCTGTCATTTCCTCTGCCTAAATCTCTGCTGTTACTCCCTCAGGTTCCTAAATGCTGGGTTGGCACATCTTTCCATTCCAGACCACCGGTCAGCTGTAGCACCAGTTGCCCTTGTGCCAAGGCCTCGAGAGGAACCCAGCTCTCATAACCTGGGAGGGGGGTTCTATAATACCAAGCATGGTTTACCTAGGGCTGCCCCTTCACTGGGTACAGGGCAAGGCAGGCACCTCATAGCCACATCTGACACAGCCTGGCCTTGGGTGTGCCTAGGACAAGCTGAGGGAAAGGGCAGGGTTTGGGCTGGAGATAGGGACAGAGGCCCTCCCTGACAGCGGTGGGCACCAGGCAGGTCCCAGGTGTCAGGTGAGGGGCCTTGACACAACAAGCAGTGATTGCAGTGCTGTGGGCAGTGGTGCAAGGTGCTCAGAGCTTGGTGTATCAGCATGGGGGGCCCTCCAGGAGGGGAGCAACTGCATGTCATTGCCAGGGCAGAGTCTGGCGTGCAGTGGAGACTGTTTTGAAGAGACATGGAAGTGGCAGGCCCTGGGAGATGGAGCGTGAGCGTGAGCAGATGGCTTGGAGTCATCGAGGACAGGGGGGTCACCCACTGGCAAGGAGTGGAGAACAGCTATCACTAGAGAGAGTGACCTAGAGCAGGAGGCTCAGTCAACACAGAAGGTGGGGGGAGGTGTCCTGCTCAGCAGCACTGTTCCAACCTCTTGTCTCGCTGGTCAGGCCCAAAGATGGCCCATGCAGGGATCACCCCCTGGGCAGTGTTCAGCACCTGGAGTTGGGCCCGATGACCACTGGAGAGCCCCAACCCCTCAGTGAGTGAGGTGCAGGGGGAGATGGGGAAGGAAGTGAAGGGATGGACTCTTGGGCCCCCTCCTGTACACTTAACACCCAGCCAACTTGAGTCCCCAGTGCCCTACCTACCCAGGGACCACTGTCAACTGTGTTCACAGCACTCGTTCTCTACCCATTGCTCCCAGACAGTGAGATCCCTGCCAGAGCCCAACAGCCACCTTGAGAAACCTGTGCCCTGTGGCCCTACCTGCACCCAAGGTAGGTGGGGACCCTGATGTGGTCCACCTCCCACTGCCCCTCAGCTCACTGCTCTGGGGTTTCTGAGCTTGGGTTCTGAAGCTGTTGTCATGGAGGCCAGATGCTGGAAGCCTCTGGAGTGGGCGAGGGAGAAGTTGTGGCTCTTCCTGGGTCATCTGTCCTCACTGAGGGAGGACAGGGGGTCCCTGCCACATGACCCACAGCCTGAGGTCCCAGTTCTCAGGGAATGACCCCTCCCCCACTTTATTTTCAGCAGGTCAAGTCCAGAAGCCAAGATCCAGTCTCTGGCGAGAGGGGGATCCTGAGATGAGGACACTTAAAAACAGGTGGCTACTGACACTTGGACCGCCAGGGGCAGCGCCAGCAAGTCAGCTGACCGGTACCTTCAGGCAGCTTGCAAGTTTCTTCCCCGAGTTACCTCCGCCCTACCTGCTCCAGGACCCCAGAGCCTCATCAGAGTTTGCCCAGTGCTCTCTGTTCTTTAGGGCTGGATCATGCCAGCCCAAGAATGCATCTGTTATGTAAAACTTCCCAGGTCTGAGAGACCAAAGAAAGAGGCGACAACTCCATCATTACCAGAGTTTATTAAGGGAACATATACAAGGTACATCTTGGGCAGCGGCAAGACCAAGTGGATATCCACCACACCATGCGGCAGCCGCTAAAGGGTTGTATAGACGGGCAGGATGGATAGGGGTGCGGGCGTAACCCACCCAGGTAAGGGGGAAAGGCCTTACATGCTTGCCCAGGGAAGGGCGAGGGCCTGTTCCAGGAACCAGCATGCCTGGGACATGGAGACGGGTGATGAGTCTCTGAGGGGATTTATGGGAAGCAATCTCTGTTCTGACCCAGAGGATCTGGCAGTGGTCAGGAAGCGCTCATGTCACCGAACAGTCTCTCCTTCACACCATCAGTCCAGGGAACGAAGCTCACATAGTCACTGACTTCCTGTCACGGGGTTGGGGGTGGCGGGTAGATCACATGGGAGAGGCCTCTAACTGGGGATGTGTGCTTCATGCAGCTCTGCAGAGGGCAATGTCTGCTGGGCCAGAGCCTGGACTCGGGGACCCTGCATTTCAGACTGAGTCCACTTCCCTGGAGCCTGGCCCCTGCAAAGCAAACAAAATCCTTGGGACCTTCCTTCCTCCCTTTTCCTACCCTGTCTTGTCCCCTAGATGGTTCCTCAGCCCCATCCCAGTCCTAGTCCTGCACCTGAGGTTTTGGAGGAGTGTGGGGTATACTGCAGCCCCCTCACTTTGGACATTATTGAACCTCTCCTCTATTCCCTAGGCGGGGATTGAGGGAGCCATTTTAGAAAGGGCACCAAAGGGACCGTGTGAGTCTTTTCTGCCTGTAAATTCAACCCTGTGGGGCTCCCTGAGGGGTGGTGGCTGGTGGGTGAAGCCTCAGATGGTAGCCAGAGCCCCAGACGGACCTGGGTATAAGATGGTGTTGCCTTGTTTGAATGATCTCTTATCCCCACCTCACCTGCCTCCCTTGGACAGTCTCAGAAGCCACTTAGTCTCTTCCCTTGCTTCATGCAGGAGTTGCTGAGTAACCTGTATCAGCCAGCTGTTACTGTGTAACAACACTCCCCCAAAACTTAAAACAACAACCAATTCTGGGAATTGGCAAGTTAGGCTGAACTCAGCTGGTGGTTCGATTGGTCTCAACTCAGCTCACTTATATGTTTGCTGTCAACTGCTGGCCAACTAGGAAGTTCTTCTGGGGTTGGCTGGCTGTTGGCTGGGGTGATGGGAATAGATGGGCTGTGTGTCTCTCATTTTCCAGTGGGCTAGCCCAGGCTCGTTCACATGGCAGCTGCGGGGGGCGGGGGGATTTCTAAGAGAGCAGGACCAGGATTAGGATGAGGTAAGTGTGCTCATTTACCTTGGGCACAAAAAATAATGATCAAGATAAGTAGTATTTTAAAAGATCAAAATTAGTGCTAAAAACCCATGATGAACAAAATATTAAAAATCGAAGTAAAGACAGGATCAATAACAGGACCACCCCAAGGCAGGTGGGAGCCAGAGGCAAAAGGAAACATCAGCCATGGTGATCCTGAGGCAAGTTCCTCTCTCACCTCATCCTGCAACAGATTGGAAGCTTGTAAGATCTCCTAAGATTCCATGGCTGGCACATGGTACTTACCATGACACTCTATGGGCCAGCCTGGGTTCCAGGGATTGGGGGGGGGGAGGGGAGTCTCCTCTTAATGGGAAGAGTGCAAAATCATATTTCAGGGCGTGTGAAGAGCTGGGGAATGGCGGCAAGTGTCCGATCCTCCCATCGGCAGCACAGGAGAGGCAGCCCCCAGCTCAGGCTTGCTTTCACTCAGCCAGCCCAAGAGGCGGAATGAGACTGTTTTCTAAAGTCCTGTGTTCTTTGTACCTGTGAGATTTTGATTTATAGAGATGACTGAGTGAGGACCTGGAGAGATGAATGCCATTGGGAGGAGTTTTTATCACTTACAGTCCCCAAGAAGTGGGGGCATGCAGGGCTGCATGGGGAAGCACCAGGCTTGTAAGGAAAGACGAGAGCTACCACAGATTCGAGGAAGCTAAGGCAACATGACCACTGAGTGTCATGTGGGATCCTGGGTTGGATCTTGAAACAGAAAAAGGACATTAGTGGAAACACTGGAGAAATTAGAAATGGTCTGTAGTAGATTGTATTGTACCAATGTTAATTCCCTAGTTTTAACAATCTCTATATATAAAAGCCTAAGCGACCGAACAACCAGTCGACCGGTTGCTATGATGTGCACTGACCGCCAGGGGGCAGACACTCAACACAGGAGCTGCCCCCTGGTGGTCAGTGCACTTCCACAGTGGGAGCGCCGCTCAGCCAGAAGCCGGGCTCACTGCTGGCGAGAGCAGCTGCTGTGGCGCAAGCCTCTCCTGCCTCCGTGGCAGCGCTACCCAGCAGTATAGCAGCAGCGGCAGGCGCAGTGGGGCCCGGGTGAGCAGGAGACGCACCGGCTCAGGCTCCTCCCTGGCCACCTGCCGCTTCCCGCACTGCTACACCCCTCGGGGGATGTTGGACTGCCAGTTTCGGCCCTCTAGTTATACTCTAATTACATGAGATGTTAACACAAGGGGCAGCTGGGTAAAAGGTATAAAGCAAACACTAACATGATTGCAACCTTCGTTCAAGTATAAAATTAGTTAATAATAAAAAGTTAAAAACTGCCCTGCCTGGTGTGGCTCCATTGGTTGAGCATCGTCCTGTGCACCAAAAGGTCGCTTGTTCAATTCCGGCCAGGGCACATACTGGTATCTAGGTTTCAGGTTCAATTCCTGGTGCACGTACTAGAGGCAACCGATCAACGTTTCTCTCCCTCCCTCCTTCTTAAAAAAAAAATCAATAAAAACATATTTTTTAAAAAGTTAATAAAATTATAAAAGAAGGCAAAGAACAATGTTGTTTCAAAAAGTTTACGGTTTAGAATGGGAGAGACAGGGCCTCCTGGGGTGGCTGTAGGTGTTGCTGTGGGGAGGAGGGTGCTGTGTGGGGGGGGTCCATCTAACCAGCGGTTCTCAACCTGTGGGTCGCAACCCCTTTGGCAGTCGAACGATCCTTTCACAGGGGTCGCCTAAGACCATCCTGCATATCAGATCTTTACATTACGATTCATAACAGTAGCAACATTACAGTTATGAAGTAGCAACGAAAATAATTTTATGGTTGGGTCACAACATGAGGAACTGTATTTAAAGGGCCAGAAGGTTGAGAACCACTGACTAGACATTCAGGCTCTAGATTCAGTGGCTCCTGGATCTACCTGAGGTGAGGCTTAGGGTGGAGACTCAGTGGGGGAGGGAGTCATGCAAAGGCTCCTCCCAGTGGCAGGAGTGCTCATGTCAGCACAGTGTCTGGGTTTCTACCCAGTTCAGCTCAGGCAGGGCTGGGAAGAAGGCACCTGTCCCACGTGGGTTCTGCCTGGCGCTGTCCTCCACTCTGCAGGCCGGCATGGCCCGCTGCTTGGGCTCCGTGATGCTGCTGCTGCTGCTACAGCTGCTTCTGAGTGAGTGGCCACCTCTTCCTCAGGACCTCTGAACTCTGGCCTCTCTATCCCAGATTCTCGGGGACAGAGTAGAGGGCAAGAGGGTGATTCCAGGAAAAGCTGGAAGGCAGGGAGTGTCGCCAGTGGGAGACCTGTGCTTGGGGTGCAGGGACACCCGGCAGTCTGCTCACAGCGCTCTGCTCATCCTGCTCCTGCCTTCGGGTCAGCCACCCCCTTCCCCAAGCCTCACCGTGGTACCCGTGCCCCAGGAACTGTCCTTTTCCTATTGCCTGCCCTCTCCCACCTTTCTTACCCTTCCTCCAGCCTCAGCCCCCCACTTTCAGTCTTGGAGTTTCACACTGATTTCTTGCCCGGCATCTTCAGTGTCTCCCTGCCACTCATCTGCTGTTCCACCAGTTCAGACTGTCTCTTTCCCACCTGAAGCATCGTGGAGGGGTCATACTGGGTGGGATGAGGAGAATGAAATCAGGCAGAGGAGATCTTGGAGCTGAGATGTGCTGTTTTGAGGGTGATGATGAGGTAAGGGTGTTCCTCACGAGGGAGACAGGTAAGCAAATCAGCAGAGGTGGAACCAAGACCTTAGGGGACAGACACAGGTACTGTTGTATCTGGCTGAGGCCTGGGAACAGGAGGGGCTTTGCTGGGAGAGAAGGGCACAGTTTGCCTGCCCCGCTGTGTCCTGGAGGAGAGAGGGAGGGCCAAACCTCTCCTGCCAAACCTCTCCACTTACATACCCACTCCGAGTCCTTAGTGTCTGTCTGTCCTTCCAGCAGAGAGGACGGCACTGAAGCCACTGCAAGAATCACCAGGGCACCCAAAAGAGGTGGTCAATGTCAGAGAGGGGCCCTGCTCCAAGCCCTGAAGCAGGGGACCCTCCTCCACACATACACAGTGAGATGGGGGTGGGGCCAGGCTGGGAGCTGGCCTGCCAGCTTCTAGGGGCTGAGAACATGAGGGGCAGAGGGAGCCTGGTTTGGTGCCCTAGGTTCTAGGAAGAGGCTACGGGGCTGGATTTCGATGTGGCCTGCGGCACATCTGCCCAGAGCACACCCTCTGCCCAGCCAACCCCTGGTGTGTGCCAGCTGTGCCAGGTGCACCCTCTGGCCCTGTGGCTCGGATAGAGCCCTGTGGCCTGCCATGAGGGACTTCTCTCAGATCCACACCTTAGCAGCCGGGCTCTCCAGCGCCCAGAGCCCTTTCAAGAATCCCTTTTTCCCCTAGCTGGTAGAGGCTGGAGGAACCACGAGGAAGCCAGAGTCCAGATGGGGCAGCATGGGTTAGACCGGCCAAAGGGAGCACCAGAAGGGAGTGGAGAGGGGCCGGTGGAGGTGCAGGAGGCCAGGAAGGAGGGAGAACCAGAAACCTATGGACCCATTTGAAGGGTCTCCAAACGGATGGGGGAGAGGGAAGGAGGAGAAAGAAGAAAGCTCAGCGTGCCAGAGCGACGATGAGGAGTGTCCACTGTCCTCAAGGCAATTTCTGATAAAGTCTTCATTAACCAGGTCCCCCCCAGCTTTGTTTCCGCGTCAGGGGCGTCTCATGAGAGTGGGAGGAGACTCGGGGATCCCTCTTTGGGTGGGTGGGACGTTCTGGGAGAGGGGTGGTGCCTGGAGAGGATGGGCCTCAGCCTCTAGGGGAGCCTCGGTGCGCCCCATCCATCCCTGATGTGTTGCAGGAATCCCCCGGGCCCAGCGCGCCACTCATCCCCGCGACGGAAGGCCGTTTAGTGCTGGTCGTTCACACCTTCAGGCCACACTCTGTTCCCCTCGGGTTTTGAGCGCATCTCCGCGGGGCCTGCGGGCCGCACCGAGAACTGACTGCAGTCTGCCCGCCCCTCCACTAGGGTCTACGACGAGCTCCGCCGCACGGAACCGATGCGTGGACGCGGCCGAGGCGTGCACGGCGGACGCGCGGTGCCAGCAGCTACGCACGGAGTACGTGGCGCAGTGCCTGGGTGGAGGCGCGGGCGGGCTGTGTCCCCGCGCCCGCTGCCGCCGCGCCTTGCGCCGCTTCTTCGCCCGAGGGCCGCCCGCGCTCACGCACGCGCTGCTCTTCTGCCCGTGCGCGGACCCCGTGTGCGCCGAGCGCCGGCGCCAGACCTTCGTGCCCGCCTGCGCCTTCTCCCGGCCCGGCCAGGCGCCGCCCTCCTGCCTGGCGCCCTTAGACACCTGCGAGCACAGCCGGGTCTGCAGGTGCGGGCGGGGGCGGGGGCGGGGGCGGGGGCGGGGCCTGAGGGCCGGGCCCCCATTCGCTCATCGTTTCCCTCCGCACCGCGCAGACCCCGCCTCCTGGCCTTCCAGGCCTCCTGCGCGCCCGCCCCCAGTGCGCCCGACGGCTGCCCGCGAGATCAGGCCTCCCGCTGTCTGCGCGCCTACGCGGGCCTCATAGGTACACAGTGCGGGGGCCCGGGCGCGGACGGGGCTCTTCCGGGCTTCCTCCACCCGGGTGGACCGATTACTGCGCTCTCGGGGTCCCCGCAGGCACCGCAGTCACCCCCAACTATGTGGACAACGGGAGCGCGCGCGTGGCGCCCTGGTGCGACTGCGGAGCCAGCGGAAATCGACGGGAGGAGTGCGAAGCCTTCCGGGAGCTCTTTACCGGGAATCGCTGCTTGGGTGAGGGCCGGGCAGGGGGCGGGAAGCACGCTTGGCCCTTACTGCCCTCTACCGAGCCGCCCCTAGGGGTGTGCGGGCTGGTGCCCTTGCGGGCGGGAGAGTACCTGGAGTGGAACTGGTTGAGATTCCTGCCTCTGCCGCTTCTGAGGCAGTTCCATCCCAGAGGCACTGGCAGCTCCTTTCATCGATGGTCTTGCCGTCCTCTGAATAGCTTGGCGGTTCCCTGCCCAGCCTGCGAGTTAGGGGGCCTGAGTTTGAAGCCCCCTCGAAGCCATTTTGTGTCCATCTGTAAAAGGGGGATGATAACGGTCACCCTCCCCAGTGAGAGTGGAAGACTACAAGGTTGGTGAGGCACTCATAGCGCCGTTGTCCTTACTTTGTTATTCCTTACCCTGCGCCTTCCATTCCAGAAGCCAGTCCTTGCAGGCATTCTATCTTCCATCTGTTCCTAGAGAGAGGCCACGAAGGTCGCCAGGGGTTTCTCAGTTTGTCCCCAAGGAGCTGTCCCCTGTGTTAGGGTTTCCCAGCCAAGCCCACCCTGATCCCTCCCTCTATAGATGGCGCTATACAGGCCTTTGACAGCTGGCAGCCCCCAGTCCTGCAGGCCCATCCAGACTCCAGCCAGGACCTTGAGCACAGCCGCCTGCAGGTAGGTGCAGGGAGGGGATGGTGAGCTGGCTTCCCCTGCACTGTTTCTTCCTTCCTTCCATGCCAGTTGGGCCTAGATGGACATGAGTGACCTGGGATGGGGGTGGACACAAAGAGCAGGGCCAGGCTTCTGCCTCAAGCCCACACTCTGCTCCCACCCTCCAAGGTATCCTCCACAGATGGGCCCCTGAAGGGGTGCTCCCTGCTCTCCATCTCCCTGTCTTGGCTCTCCAGACTCTGCTCTGACTAGAACAGCAGACCTTGAACAGCACAGCCAACTATCCCACCCTGCCCGGGTACATGGCCACCTCTGTGGCCTACTGCCCCACTGAAAAGGGACTGGTTTACCTCCCCCCCTCCCCGGCCCCCAAGCTAGCCCCAGTGGCTCTTGCCCTGCTGCCCTCTGCAGGTCTGGACATCCTGTGTGCTTGTCCCCTGGAGTGAGGCATATAGTCTACAGGCCTAATTGCGAAGCTCATGGTTTCCCTTTCAGTCGGTTTCTTGGTTGTAGGTCTCTTTCTCCACAGACCTTGGAACAGTTGGAGTTTCCCAAAGGTTAGGCATGAGAGGGGGTCACCTGTGTAGCCGAGGCCTCACCAGGCCCCAAGATAACCTAGAGAAGGTGAGAGACCAACCAAACTCCAAGAATTATAAGAGATTTTATCAGCCCCCCAAGCAGATTATACCTTAAAGAGTAATCTGAACAGATTTATAGGCAAAACCCCCGCTAACACTGCAGCCTTTCATGGCCCCTTCCCAGTTATGTGCCACTCATGATGATAATCACCCGTGTCCCATGACAAACGTCCCATGGCAGAGTGATATGTTGCTTGGTGGGTACCACCTTGAGTAGGTGGGAACCCAGTTCCCTGCATTGCACTGGCCATGTAGCCACCTACCCCATGGTTTAACCCAGCACTGGGAATGGTATCCACAGCTCAATAAACCCATGTTCACTGAGACCGGCCTTGCTTTCATGTGATCTGTGTCCTGGGACCTATGGTTAGCCACAGGGTGTGTTTCTGCTGCTGGCCAAGGTGACCTCAGATGGCTTCAGAACTTCTCTGGGCTCTGTCTCCTGACCTATCGATGCTGAACTGAATCTACTGCCAGGTTCTAGTGGCAGGGATTTTTTTTTTTTTTTTAAAGGATGTGGCCCACCTTCACACAGGGTTATGGGTGTACAGATGCTTCGCAATGCAAACACACATTCGACCTGCTCCAGCTGAGGCACAACATGAACTGAGGTGCATGAAGTTGGCCTGCAAAATGGCTGATGGGGGCACAACATGGAGCACCTCATGGGAGATGCAGTGCAGGGGAAAGTGTGCTGCTTACAATTCAAAGGCTCAGAAACAGCAACACACATATAGGAGCCAACCAACCCCTCCATTTGGACTCAAGACCCACACTTACAAAGAAATGCTATAAGCACACAACTCCATGGGCCCCACACAATAGTCTCCCGGTCTCTGTCTTCTATGTCTCTCTCTCCTATCCTTGAAGTAAAACAATGATCTTGACAACCCACCCAACCAATACACTGTATATGTGTGTGTATGTATGTGTATACGCTCATATGGTCACTGAAAACATAACAAAGGACGACACAATTCACTCACAAACAACACTGTGCTCACACATCCTCTGGGACACATGTGGGACACATGCCAGCTCCCCACAAACACAAGCTACACAGATACATGGTAGTGAGCACACACAGTCACAGCTTCCGTTGTCTAGGAAGCCACACCATGAGGGGACACTGGGGCATCACAAGCACAAAACATCACTCCACGCTAGCCAGGTGACGGCAGGAGCACGGGCCCCTCCAAAACAAGGCACAGGACCCTCCATCACAACAGCAACCTCGGTCGTCCGGACATACCCACCAGGAAAGGCACACGCACCTCTTCAAGGCAAAAAGACATCCACTCAAGGACACGCAGGAAAACTGCCCAGGGAAGCTCCAAACAACAATGACCTCGCAGGGATGGCCAAACCGGAACGTCCACCTTCCATAAATGACTTCCCCACCACCTCCACCGGTCCACCGCGGCTCCCTCCAACAGCTGCCCACACGAGTCCTGGCCTCTTCCGTCACAGCCAACAGCCAGCGGGGACATCGGCCTTGCCTCAACCTTCTCACACCGAACATGTTGGAGCACAGGCAGGGATGAACGGACAGAGGGATGGAAAGCTTCTGTACCACAAACATTTCCTTGGTCCCTAGTGGCAGGGATTTTGATTGCTTTGATCTATATTTTTACTTCTCTGCTAGTACTCAGATAAATAGACTACACTTCCTAGCCTCCCTTGCAGCTAAGGGTGGTCATGTGATACAGTTCTGGCCAATGAATGGAATTCACAGATGAGGCTTCCAGGAGAGCTCTTTAAACTGGAACTGACTTGCTGACTGGTCCCTTGAGTCTCTAGCCTCAACCCTCCCCTCTTCTTGCCCAGACCTTGGTGGCGATGTCTGTCTAGGACACGGGCACCATCTGGAAAATTGAGCCACTGCACCAATTCCAGTCCGCTTCCCTCTGGACTCCTCAGTGCATGAGAAAAAGACACCTCTAATTTGTTTAAGGCAATTTCTCCCTAGGCTTCTGCTATTTGCAGCCAAACCTAGGCCCTCCCTGCTTGACACAGTCCCACCTCTGAGGTGTTTGGGAGCCCTGGGGTCACCTACCATACTCACTTAGCGGAGCCCCATCTCAGTGCTTACAGAGCCCCACCCTGACAGACACTTGAAAGAAGGGGCGATGGGGCTTTTGTTTTTTATTCCTGCATATTCTATCTGCAGAGAGTCAGACTCTTTCCTGGAGCTGCGGGAAATTTATCATAAACGTTTTTGTGAACATTTGGTGTGTGTGGCCAGTGTGGACCCAATGAAGCCAAGGGCATTGTGTTAAACTTCAATTCTGCAAAAGAGTTTGGGGAGGAGAGGGCAGAACAGTGGGGGGCAGTACTAAGCTTTCTGCCCACCTCTTTCTTCCTCAAAATCATGGAGACTCCTGATGAGTGAAGGGATCCTGTGTCTCCAGGCTGCTCTTCTCAAACCTGGTTGAGGCTTGCCAGGGGCCATGAATTGGTGGAAGTGGACACGGCTGTTGGTGCCTTGCTCTGAGGCTGCTCTGGCCAGTGCAACCCATCCCCACGCCGCTGGGAACGTTGGCTGCAAACACAGCTCACAGCTGCCCCCTCCTCTAAAGGAAATGCCTGTAAAGTTACACTCTGCTCCCCGACGGACTGCAGCCAATGACTGGCTGAGGCAGGGGTGTCGAGGCCTAGCCTGCTTGCCTCAGGTGGGACAATTCTGTGCGCCAGTCTTGCTCCAGAGCTCCATGCGGGATCCCAGCTGAGACCGCATCCCAGCTAGCTCCTCCTGCCCACTCCTGCCTCCTTCACTTAGGAGGTTCTCCTGAGGGTAACCCCTCCAATAAATCAGGCCTGAGAATTCCTACCTTGGGCTCAGCTTCTGGAGCACCTAGTCTAAGACACAGGTTAGGTACAGATCACACCAAAGCCCAGGCCTGGGGCTGTCTTGACCAGAAAAAGAACCACCGGGTCTGGTACTGTGTACTTAGCAACTCGTACCAAACCCACAGACATCCTGTGAGGCAGCTGTCAACCAGCCTCCCACCTTCAACCAGTACTCTCCTGATTGAAACCAATCACAAATCCAACTGACAACCATCTGAGTTTCAGGCACAGCTGTCTTCAGGGGTTCAAATGATGTTGCCCCTGCTGGCCTGTGTTTGGCTCCCCTCTGCTGCCAGGCAGGCTCTCACCACAGGGCAGGTAAGAATGCCACCAGCAGCCTCCCATCTACAATCTCTCCTTGTAGCATTCTCGGCAGAGAAAGGCACCTCTCTTTCCCAGCATTCACGGACTGTCCAAGGCAGGACCCTGGTGGCCCCAGCACGGGTTATAAGCCTCTTCCAGTGGCCTGGGAGTGACATCAGCCCACTGAGATCACATGCAATCGGAAGGCAGTTTTCCAGTGGAAAACAGGAGGGGTATTGGGCCAAGTGAGAGTCCAACCTGTTTTCACTATGAGGAAGGAGGAATGTTCTCAACTACCTACATCTGCATGGGAGGGGACACCTAGGAGTGGGCTGGGGGGATATTGTGTGTGTTGGGTGTGTGTGGCGGTGGGCGGGGGAGGCGGGGGGAGAAGGAGAAGGATTGGGAGCTGGATGGGGAAGTGAAAGCATCACCTTGGCCTGCTCACCATGATTGCATGGTAGCCCAAACATAGAATTAAATATCTGCTAAATAACTTGCCTTATGTGAGAATATGTTAAACTCTCTTACTCCATGTTTTACTGATAATTGGAGTAAAACAGGCATGTACCTTTCAAAATGTTGGGAAGCTCCAAGTGAGCAGAACCTAGTTGAAAATTGCACAACTGTTCCATGGCAGCTGGCTGTCTTCCTTCAGTCCTAATCTCCAAGCAGACAAACTCAGGCTTACCCAGAGGAGCCTCTAACATCAGACAATGCGCAACGAAAAAGAGGCTTCCTTATTGGGTGCAGGGGGCAATGAAAGCTCCCCGGGGCCCCGTTGCCTGGCTGTTTTCCCCCAGCGTGAACATTTTGTGTGGGTGGCCTGAGGCTGGCTGGGGCATAGACCCAGTCAGCTCTGCAGAGAGAAGCCAAGAGAAGGGACAAGGTGTTTTGGTCTGTGAAAGGCACCGTCTTGCCACTCCTGGGCAGTCAACTTTCTGAAGGTTTTGTTGCTGTAGTGGGCTGAATGGTGGCCCCAAAGATATCTCCATGTCCTAAGCCATGGAACCTGTGACTTACCTTATATGTAGGCAAAAGAGTGAATATTACCTTATATGGCAAAAGATGCGATTAAATTAAGGATCCTGCAAGGAGGTGCTTATTCTGGATTATTTGAGGGGGCCCTAAATCCTTATATAAGAGAGGCAGAGGGAAATGAGACATGGCAGAGATGGGAGTGATGTATCCACAAGCCAAGGAATGCTGGCAGCCACCAGACGCTAGAAGCGGCCAGGACTGAATTCTCCTCTAGAGCCTCTGGAGCAGTAGTTCTCAACCTTCCTAACGCCGTGGCCCTTTAACACAATCCATCATGTTGTGGTGACCCCCAACCATAAAATATTTTTCGTTGCTACTTCATAACTGTAATTTTGCTACTGTTAAGAATGGCAATGTAAATATCTGATATGCAGGATGTATTTTCATTGTTACAAATTGAACATAATTAAAGCATAGTGATTAATCACAAAAACAATATGTAATTATACATGTGTTTTCCGATGGTCTTAGACAACCCCTGTGAAAGGGTCGTTCGACCCCCAAAGGGGTCGCGACCCACAGGTTGAGAACCGCTGCTCTGGAGGGACAGTAGCCCTGCCACACTATGATTCCAGACATCTGGCTTCTGGAACCATGAGGATAAATTTCTGTTTTTTTAAACCAGCAAGTTTGGATAATTTGTCATAGCAGCCCCAGGTAAATTAATGGAATTCTGTAAGGTTGTCAGAGTCTGGTTTCTGTCACTTCTGCCTAAAAAGGTCCTGGCTCATACATGGTGTTAAGTCTGGCCAAACATCTCAAGACTGAGTCCAGCTGTGGCCCCCACAACCAGGGAGGGGTCCTGCCAAGCTTGTCTACACCTGGGTGTCGGTTCTCTGTGTCCGATGAGGTAGGCTGCTTGCTGTCACTCTCTCACGTGCACTCCAGGAGACTGTTGTCCTGGCCTGATCCCTGTGACTGGGTCTCTGTTAGCTGTTGTCAACATTGAGCCGCTAGCTGCAGGTGGCTGGGGGCAGGGGAGTGAGGCAGAAAGGCAGGTGCTGGAAGCTTCTCTTGATTTATTGGTGGAAACTTCACGGTTCATGAATGCCCCCTCTGGCTTGGAGCCTGCTGTCTAGGGCACAAAGTTGATGTGGAAACTGTCCACTGCCCTTCCCCCACCTTCCCCAACGGAGAGAGGCAGGGCCAGTCTCACAGAACCAGCTCACTGTTACAGGAAGAATGGATATTAGCAGTGAAACCTCCAGAGAAGCAGGAGGACATGGCTCTGCAGGGCTTCAGGAGACACCTCCACACCTGGACAGAAACATG